TTCGTCACATTCGGACACCTCCATTGCTGGGAGTCGCACTTGAACGTGGGAGGACCGCACGCGTGCAGCTCGGTGTCCTCGTCGGATCCATCCCCACAATCGTCTTTTCCATCACAGATATACGCCTTGAACACGCATCTCTCGTTCCGACATCTGAGAAACGTGTCAAATTAGATATCGACGAATTGAAAACGAGAATAAGGTATACATCTCTAGCGTCCACGCTTTCTGAGAGAACGCGAGGAAACTTGATTATGACAAACCTGAAAAATCCAGTCTGACAGTCGACCTTTCCGCATGACTCCGGCTCGTCGGACTTGTCCGGGCAATCCGCGGTACCGTCGCAGTACCAGCTTCTCGGTATGCAGATGGCTGAACTAACGCACTGGAACTGCTTATCGGTGTTGCACTGATCTGGCGCCAGTGACGGGCAGCCCACTTCGTCCGAGCCGTCGTTACAATCACTAATGCCGTCGCACTTATACGACGCTAAAACACACATCTTTTGGTCCGCGCAAGTGAATTGTGTACTGAGACAGGTCACCGGCGGGCAATCCATCTCATCCTGCTGATCGAAACAGTCGCTGTCGCCGTCGCATACCCAGGACTGCGGTATACAGTGGCCGGAGCGTGGACAGGTGAACTGGAAGTACGAGCAAGTTTTCGCTGCGCAGAACTCGCCTTCATCGGAGCTGTCGCCGCAGTCATTCTCGGAATCGCATTTCCAAGTTGCGGGGATGCAGCGATTATTGGCGCAAGCGAACTGATTAGCGCTACAAGTCACATTCGGGCACCCCATCTCGTCGCTGTAATCGCCACAATCGTTCTCGGAATCGCAGTGGAACGTCATTGGTACGCAGCGGCCGGACTTGCACTGGAACTCGCTCGAGCTGCACGTCGGTTTCGTGCAGTTTTGCATTTCGTCACTGTTGTCCAGGCAATCGTTCTCGCCGTCGCACACCCAGGATTTCGGGACGCACCTGGAAGTAGATCGATTAAGAGTTGAAACGCTCGAATTCGCAAGTAGATCTTTTTCTACTTTCATATTCAATCGAATGTAAAATAATATGTTGGCCGGACGGTCGCGTTAGTCTCCTTTACATTTTAAGTAAATTAATATAATGTATTACGAAAACGACAGTACTAAATTGCGCCTGATACAAGTGAAATTAAAGCTTCTAAATTAAAAAAACGTACGTGACATTTAACAAAAATAATACCCAAAGCTTTTATTCTATTGTATTCAGTAAAATAAAAGTATTCAGTTGGAAGAGCATTCGTCCGGCAAGTAGAAAGTCCCAGGTTCAAATCCTGGTCTAGCCCGTTATTTTTCCCACCGAAAATCAATAAGTGGCGCGTCTTAGTGCCTACCTCCCCGAAGATACACCCCTATTTATTATTATGGACGAAATTCAAATCTTTCGGTAGTGTTTTCAGCAAGACTGCTTGAACATCTGACCAGATTACCTCCAACTCGCTTGTATATATTTCATCACCCGTTCGAGCTTTATATTAAAAACGAGGCAATGCTTCTCAGTGCTCGATTAAGATTATCTTCTCATTCAACATTTAATTGTCAACTAAATAAGTCACACACCTCTGGTTTGCGCAAGTGAAGTCCCAAGTATGTGGACACGCCTGCAAAGGCGGTTCCCCATCTGGATCGGCTGCGCAACTCCTACCATTGCTCTGAAGACGCTCTCCGTAAGGACATCCGCATACTTGAGTGAGCTTCGGCATGGATTGCATGCCAGGGAACGTGATAGCGTCGGAGCGCGAGGAGTTATCCGGAATAGCGAAGCAAAGCTTTTCGCAACCACCGTTGTTGATGCTGCAAGGATGAGTAATCATCGTCTTCTGGATATCGCGACTGAAGACCTTCACGCCGTAAAGCCTGTTGGTAGCGGGCTCACGGACCAAGATAGCTTCCTGCTCGCCGGTCTCTTTATGCAGCCGAATAATGGCGTCGAGACGCCAATCGGTGATGTACATCCAGTTCTCGTGGATGGCGATAGAAAACGGATGTCGAATCAGTCGCGAGTTTACCGTTCGTACGTCCGTGCCGTCCAAGTTCGAGTGCTGCACGTGATCCAGAAGAGCGTCGCACCAGTACAATCGATCTTTCATAAAGTCGATCGCCAGTCCATTCGGCCAGCCCAGAGTTAGATTTCTGAAGACAACCAGGTTGGAGCCGTCAGCCTGAGCCCTGCTAATGTTAGCCGGCCGGTCCCATTCCGAGAAGAAGATCAGACCCTGGTTCGGGTGGATTACGATTGCGCGAGGACGCTTCAGATTTTTCAGCAGCGTTCGCCGGTACGTGACATTCCGAGTGCTGAGCACGTTTAGTGTGCCTGAGAAAGTAGAAAGATTTTGGTCGACCAGTCAGATCCAGTGTATATTTATTCTTTTAGAGCTTTAAAAAGTTCACAAAAACTCATGTTGCGAATCAACTCGAATGAAGAACAACGATTCAGTAAAACTTCACCAACGAACCTTTACGGGAGTCGATGTAGTACAAGTTCTTCGCAGCCCAATCGACGGCGAGTCCTTCCACCCCTTCATTTTGACTAGCCAGGACGATTTCACGCCCGGTCGCGTTCTGGTGTACCCTGTATATGACGTCCTGAAGAACATCGCTGTAGTAGATGTACTGGTCGTGGGCGTCATAGTCCAATCCAACGAATCGTGCCCGTCTGGACACCACTGGCAGGATAGCATCGCTAAAGCCTTCCATTACGGGATTGAGTACGCGGCCTTTGATGAACCTCTGCTGAGAATACATCAGGAACTCCTGCACCAGGTTGCAGTTCCTCATGTCGACTGCCAATCGCCATCCAATGTGACAGGCGCAGCGATAGCCTAATCGATTGTTTTGATCGCTGGAGGCCGTGACGATGCACATGTGTTGACAGCCGCCGTTATTATTGCCACAGGGATTGGAGACGTTAGGTTGCGTAAGTGGATGTAAGGCTTTTATAGCTTTGGCGTCGCGTACCTTAAAAAAGGGGATTGTAAATATCACCAGGTCAGCTTAATACAACTTTTCTCAAAACTGTTTGGAAAAATGTCCGGCACTAAATGACACAATGTTACATTATCACCAGTTAATTGAAAAAAATATGTCAATTGGTCCAACTTCAGTAGAAATTGATTAGATTGACTTTATAAACATTTTCATGAAATTGAAAGGTTTGAAATATTCGTATCTACCTTGAATACACTTTGGATGGAATAATCTCCTTGAGTCTTGTCGACGCTCATGACGGCCTGCTTGGTAGCGTCCGTCCAGAATATCCTGTTCTCGAATAGAGTGAGTCTGATCGCGGATGGCACTTGAGAACCTCTCAGAATCATTATTCTGTTGTGACCTCTGTAGTCCGCCGTTTCGATGTAGTCCAACAGGGAGTCGCACCAGTAGATCCTTTTGGCAATGATGTCGACGGCCACGCCGGAGACTTTATAAGCTGCCTCGGAGACGACGGGGAACGCGTTCGTGCCGTCCATGTTTGTGCGTAGGACCTGCTTGCTGTCGGCGATGAACATGAGGCCCCTCGTGGGATCTAGCGCGATGTCGGACGGGCTGGTGAGATTGGAGCCCACCACGATCCCGTGGTAACGTCCATCCAGCTCGAACACATCCACCTTTTGCACGATGGAGTCCGCCACGTAGAGCTTATCGCCGATCCAGTCTATCGCGATGGACACGGGTCCCCAGGAGCCCGCCATACTGATGTCCACCTTGGCCGTCTCGCTACTGGGGTTGAGCGACTCCGAGTGAACCTTCCGCGTCTTCATGTCGCTCCAGAAGAGCAGATTTCGCGAGTACAGGTAGTCCACCCCGCTCGCGCCGGTGGTGTTCGCGATTATCTTCCGGTCCTCGCCGGTCGCGCTCAATCGCCATATCGCGCGATCCTGCGCGAGCAAGAGCTCCAGGACGGAGATGTTCTGCGCGCGACACTTGTTGAGCCCGTGAAGAACGTAACCGGGCGCGCAGTGACACGTGTACCAGCCGTCAGTGTTCTCGCACAGCTGCTCGCAGAAGCCCCACTCGGAGCACTCGTTTCGATCTGCGGAAAGGAACAAGTCCAATGGGCGATGCAGAGGAAACTATGCGAAAGCGGGTGGACTTTAAATTGTTCGAGGTTTCCAATACCCGCTTTTACCACTGCAGATGAACTTTAATCTCGGCCTAAATTACTTCTCATCTTTCTTTCAATTTTTTAAAGCTAGAAAAAGATATAAAGTGAGTTGAACCGAGATTAAAGTTAATTGGTAGAAACGAGCATAACTCAGGACTCCTCAACCGTTGTACCACCGTTGCACAGTGGATATTAAAAGTTTCAATTCGCACGACTCATATAGCTTACCAATGCAGGTCCGCGAATCATTGGCAAGGATTCTTCCCTCCGGGCAATAACAAGCCCCTCCGGTCGGAGACGCTTGACACTTGTGTTGGCAACCAAACGAGCCGCACATGTTCGTCGCTACACGACAAAGAAATTTCCTTTTAAACTTCTAAGAATCTCCTAATTTAAGTCTAAATCTATATTCTACATTCTATATTTAATATAATTTAAAATATAGAATCTATAGTCCGTATATTTTAACTAGAGTTGGGAAACTTTATAAAAATATCTAGTTACAGTTACAGTTTTTTTTGCTAAAAATGTAACTAATTACAGTTACAAGTTACCAATTCTGAAAGGTAACGCGTTACAGTTACACAAAAATGACGAGTCGTTACTCTGCAGTTACTTTCTTGCAATGAAAATAAATGTATCAAAGCATTCGAATTGTAAAGTGTCGATAAAGGAGTTTATGCGCTAATGCAAGGCCTAATGCGATCTGTGGAGGTTTAAAAAATATATAAAGTAACTCTTAATGTAACTATTAAATTAGTTACTAGTTATCAAAAAAAGTAACTGTAACTGTAATTTCGTTACAAGTAACGAGTTACTTCCCAACCCTAATTTTAACAATTTTATATATTTATATATAAAATTTAGTTGTTAAAATATACGGACGTATATTTTAAATTCCTAGCACTTGCATCCCAGAACGCTGACGAGAACTGTTGACACAAATGTGTCTTTTCGTTTCTGTATATCGATTAAGTACTCCATAATTGCAACAAATCAAGTTTATGTAACTACCAATGATTCGTTATTACGCGAACTCATGAAATATTTTATATAATCCTGCGACGTTATTAAAACAAACGTAACACGCATACGATCGCGTTATACGTGAACTTTTTGCTCAGCGTCGAGCACGCAATTAAATTACACTTACAGCACGATTTCTCATCAAACCCGTCCTCGCAATCCTGTTTTTCATCACACAACTGAGATCGATTGATGCATAATGGCTTCCCGTCCAGTGCACCTTTCGGGCACATATACTTGGTTCCTGGGCAGACTGTCACTGTGCAGGACCTCTCGTCGGAGCCATCCTGGCAGTCTTTATAACCATCGCATTGATATGCTATGGGAATGCAGAGCGCATTGGCGCATCGGAACTGATCACTGGTGCAAGGTGGGAAACCTGGGCATTATCAAGAAGTCTCTTATGAACGTCGTTTATACGAACTGTTAAAATTTATGTTTTAATTATCTATGGAGGAAAGTAGTGTCCTATTATAGGATAGGCTCCTAATATGAGATAGCGGAGTTTCTGTTAAATTAATAGGCATCATCTGTTGGTTCCACCATAGTATAACTAGTAGGTCCATTCCGTCATTTGTTTCGTTTTGCGTCGATCCCTTCTGAAAAAGATTTGCGATTGAATTTGAACGTTGAGAACCTACCGAGGGGAAAACCACTGACCAAAATCTTGTATACCGATGCCCACTAATGCCCAGTGGGCATTACTTTATCTTATTATCTTGTTTTATCTTATTTTATCTCACTTTACCTTATTTTATCTTTATAATGCCCCAGCGAGACCTAATGCCCAAAAAATGCCTAGTAATGCCCAGTAATGCCGCAAATCTGTACACCACAATGCCATCAGCGGTTTCCCCTCGGAACCTACTATCTCACATTAAAATCTTATCTCATATTAAAATCCTATCTCACAATAGAAGACTTCTCTGTATTCATGAAAAGACGCTTGCCGATAACTTGATGGTAAAAATGAACGGAAGGAGGAATGGGTAAAAATGTCATCCATTTGGAGGCAACGATGGCCGGAGGGATGAACCGTGAAGCGTCGAGTGGACTCGTTGCAAAATCGCGAACTCACTGCAGTGTTCCTCGTCGCTGTTGTCACCGCAGTCGTCAAAATGATTGCACCTCATGTTCTGCTCGAGGCAGCGCTGCGTGGCGTTGCACCTGAATTGATCCAATCGGCAGGCATTCTTCACATTATTTTCGCATCTCTCCTCGTCCCTGCCGTTCCGGCAGTCCAGGTAACCGTCGCACTTCTTTTCTTTGGGTATGCAAAGTTCCGGTGTGGTCCCCCCGCACCTGAAGTCATCCGGCTGGCATTTCCTGTATGCTGCAACACACGTCGCGGTCCCCCGTCACTCCTTCGTCCATTCGCAAAATTTCTTTCTCACGGAGCATCATGCAACAAGTACAAATGCCGGGACAAACGTTTCAGGATATTTAGACGCTGAAATGGCCTCGTGTCGCGAACGTCCGGCTTTGGCGACATATCTGAGAAGAACATCTTCGGTGGCGCGTTCGTAAACGCGGAACCGTGACAAATGGAGTGGCACACACTGTCACTGTTACATAACACGTGTCAAAAGCGCGATCCGAAGTGGATGACGCTTTCGGGTCCAAATGGTCTCGCGTGATAACTCGCCATTAGCTGCACATAATGCGCGACCATATCTCGACGATCACCTGGCGCGACACGTACGTTCGCGCTGTTGATAAACACGTGGAATGAGCCCGATATGGCAATCCGGAACGTGATTTTTCTCAGTTAGTTTCTGCGATATCAAGATAAAAGAGTCATAGCGGAAGAGAAGCGAGACGAGGGACTTTTTTTAAGTCGCGGCCAATGGAATTTTAATCGCGGAGCGTTTCAATAAAATATTATACTTTTTCTAAATGTCCTTTTAAAAGTCTCGCGTTTTCTCGACTGAAATACACGAAAAATGTTAAGAATAAAGTTGTAATCGATTGCATGTTCGAAAAAATAGAAATCTTACGAGTTCAACGGCTCTTAGAAATATTCTACTCTCAACGATCAGGATACGCGTGTAAAATATGCACGAGTTTAAATGAGATGTGACGATTGGAAAATACGAAAAATTATAACTGACACAAAGCTTTTGACAGTGACACGACCAGCGTCCAAAGAAAGGAAAGTGTTATCGCAGTTAGTAAGACGTTTGCAAATCTCAGTCTTCGTTTTTACGACGTCGGTGAGCATAATAGCTGATTTAACAATGTGCAGTGCGTGTTATCGTGACAGCACGATAATTTAGTGAATCCTAGTGTGAAGAATTCGCCTAATCGCGCAGCTGCTACTTAGCCATGCTCTTATGCGAATGGCCTTGTCACTGACGATTATGTTATCGCGTAGTATCTTTCGGTATGTACATATATCCGTACTAATTAATATCCCATCTAAATGACGCAGTTGATGGTCTTGAGGTCGCTTCTTAACAACCGCGTACTTTCTTGCGTTACTCACGAGAGGAAGAGAAGAAATGGAAATGATTTAAAATTAAAAGAATCCTCTGTGTTTTTCAGCGCCAGGGATTAATTTTCAGTTGGTGCAGACTGATACGGTGGTTTGCTGAGCAAAGAAGAAGAAATTACGCGAAACATTACTTTCGGCGAAATGAGACTTGGAATAAAAATAGATGAAGCTGCGTGTCGGCTTGTGAGAGGCGCTGACGTGCGCGGGAAGAATCTTCTTTTGAAATTTACCCTGAAAACTACGCAATCGTGGGACAACACGGCACTTTGAAGACTTTTATGAGAGCTTTTTGAAATTCTACTAGTAAATACATACATTCTACTAGTAAAAATGTATACTATAATTTCGAAAAGCTCTCATAAAAATCTCCGAAACGCCATGCTGTCCCGCGATTACGTGATTTTCAGGATATATTTCGAAAGAAAATTCGTTCCGCGTGGCTGCGTGCCAGATGTTTTTTTTCACACTGGTGTAAGTGTGTAAGTGTAAGTCACGCTACGTAAGACCAGAGACCCTGTAATCAGAGACTGGCCGTAAGGGTTCGTCAAATTCCCGCGAGTGAGAGAGAAACATAGGCTGTCCACTCTTCCACCACCGTAGAAACGTTTCTACGGTGGTGGAAGAGTGAGATAGCCCATGTTTCTCTCTTACTCGTAGGAATTTAACGAACTCTTATGGTCAGTTTCTGATAACAGGGTCTCGTGAGACTACGTAACTTTTCCATATCTGGGGGTCAATTCTGCATCTTTTTTTACATTATAGTGAAAATGCTAAAAGTAAATAGCTTTGTCTCTTTCTAACCGTCTCCTTAAAAAGAGACAAAGTTCACTTTTAGCATTTTCACTATATCGTGAATTGACCTCCTGACGTCGCGATATGATTAAGAAAAAAAAATTAATCACGGGAAAGAGTGACGTTGGCAAGGATGATTGTCAATTTGTACTCACTGCAGCCGTCTTCATCAGTGCCGTCGACGCAATCGACGGTCATATCGCATCGTTGATGCGGTGGTATACAGTACGTCTTGTTGAAGCTGTACTGGCCACACGTGATCTGGCCGATGTCGCAGTCGGGCGGCGCTGAAACCCGGTGAAAAAAAAATTAATAAATTAATCGCTCACGTGGACAAGGACATTAGGGTAGGACAGGAGCTTGATCTTGGGTAAAATGATCTGAAATTGCTCCCCGATCACGATCCTTTCTCGCGGTTTGGTCAGAGAACCGACTGACTCGTCACGTTTTTACGCTACTGATAGCAATCTCGGCAAGTTTTCGAGCCGAATGTAATAAAGACATCCAGACATAATCTACAGTTCTACACAAAGAGCTAAAATTGTATAAGCAGTAATTTGACCTCTCACATTGATTGTATCAACCGCGATAGTCCGTCAAAGACTCGATTTTTTTAGTTATTTAAATGCGAAACACTCTTCGACCTGCAGATAGCGTCTTCTGCACGGAGAGAACTTTCCTTTAAAATTTATCCTGAAAATCGTGTAATCGCGGGACAACGCGACATTTCGGAGAATCTTATGGGAATGTTTTTTTTTATTTTACCATACGTTTGACTAGTGAGATGTATGGTAAAATTTCAAAAAACTCTCACGAAGTTCTTGAAAATGCCACGTTGTCCCACGATCGCCTGATTTTCATTTTAAATTTTAGGAGAAACTTCTCATCGCTCGGAAAGCAGCGTTTTCAGAGGCACGAAATACCTGAGCAGACCTGCGGTAAAAACTAAAGGTTCTCCTCTTTGAATTCTTATCGCGGTATTCTTTTGTTCTGATTGTGAGATCATACAAAGGAATCCGGAGGTGAATACGATGAACTTCTGACGAGATCCCGCGCGACGTGCAACACGCGAGGGCTCGTTGCGAGAGCGCAGATTGCGCCGGTGCTATAATTGCGCGCGGGTATAATCGGTCGGCCGTCGTTCGCCAGGCGATCGAGGGAAGCACCCTCCTCGATCGTTTAATACCGGATGGCACGACAATCACGCTGCCGAGCCGAGAGGTATCGCTTTGACGCTGTCTTTCCCAAATATTTTCCAATAACGCACGCGTCATCGACGTGTAAAGCCAACGGCACACGATACTATTTTTCCTGCTGCATTACTTACGAGAGCCAATTAGGCTTTAGCCTTAAATCAGGTGATCTAAAACTCTGTACTTATTGGCTCTCGTAAGCAGTCCAGTAGGAAAAATAGTATCGTGTACCGTTAGCTTAAGACTCTTCATTCTACACGGAGAGAATTTTCTCTTAAAATTTACCCCGAAAATCATGTAATGGTGGGACATGGAATTTTGAACAACCATGAGTTTTTGGAAATTTTACCATACATTCTACTAGCAAAACGTATACTGAGCATAATCAATAGTAGAATGTATGGTAAAATTTCAAAAGACTCTCGTAAAATTCCTTGACACGCCACGTTGTCCCGGGATCACATGATCTTTTAGGATAAATTTTAAGAAAAAGTTCTCTCCGTGTAGAAGTGAACTTTCGAGACAGTGCGAATCGCAGGTCTCGTTCGTTCTACGACGATCGTCCGGTAAACGTCTGTTAAATCAATTTCGGGACATTAGAGTAAACTGGCTCGGAAACGAGATTTGTTGTAATAGATGTGAGGATGTAATTGGCAGGAGGGGGATGAACGTCGAGGAGAAAGTTGTCGAGCGCGAAATTGGAGTCGATTCCGCGCAAAACGAGATACAATTGTGCCAGTGGATCCGTTTCATCGAATGGCACGCGATACTTGTGCACACCGTCCTCGAAAGAGGGTCACAGCCTTGCTTCCGGTTTTGCATTGTCACCCGCATAACAAACGGCCGCCACTTCGCGGTGGCCTAGGCTAAATCCCACAGAGGGGCAAGGGACACTGTTGCGTTCGTGGCGAGTCAAACGCGATCTTTTTTTGGATATCTTAAAAGGACTTGAACGACGTCGCCCTGCAAACTCGACGGACGAATTTTTCTTTTGCCCGTAACAATGATCTCGCACGTACCTGTATATTTGCGCGTATTCAAAAGATTATGCACTGTTAGAAAGAAAATTGGCATCGTGAAAACTACGTAACCAAATGATGAAAAAGGTCTCAGGGCTAAATGTCATTTTTTTAAGAACGCTGCAAGAAACGGAAAGAAAATAATTTCTTTATGGTGGTTGAAAGCATTTGAAAATAGCACGGAGTATAAAAGAGTTTTTCCCAAAGAGGCATTCTGGATGCTGAAATTTTCGCCACTTCGCTAATCTACGGGTTGCCTGTCTTCAGCTTCTAGGTGTCAAAAACAAAAAAAAACCATTGATCGTCCTCGCTCGCACGGAAAAATAACTCAAGGCACGAATAGTATTTATTTTACGCTTCCTGTAATGTAAATCCGACGATAAGGAGCGATCACAAAAGCGGTCACGTAATCAGCCGCATGGAAAAAAAATGCTGAACAAAGAGACCAAAGCGCTTCCGAGAGGAAGCCTCGGATTTTCGTCGAGCGCTTCCGGCACGAGATTCGTTGTAAGCCATACATAGCTCGAGACAAACCATTCCGCTCGTAAACAGGAAGAGCGCGTCAAAAAATCGGCCGTTTCAAGGCTGCAATCATAATCGCCCCGCGCGAATTCGAGTCGCGTTTACATCAAAGTTCAATGCGGCCCCAGAAAATTCGACATTACGCTTACGGTTGCGTTACTTCCGCTCGGACCTGCGTCAACTTGAGGCTTGTTATTGCGAGACTCCCTTCCCGAATTCCCTTTCAAATGGTCAGCGTCAAGGTTTCCGGCGACGCTGTCAAGACTAAGGTGCTATTATGCGCAAAATTAATTTTTTTTTCACGCGCCCCGGGGTCTTCGCAACCGTAAATCCATGCCTGCCGGTGCAAGAGTACTGAATGAAGACGATGGCTTCATTCTGAAAGTTCTTTCACCGCGAGCTGTAATGGGGGCAGCGGGCGATCGCTGATCATACACGCATCCCTCTTTATTATTACTTAACGAAGCACTTCGTCATTAATTATTCAGCAGCACGAACGGTGAAGCGTACTTTTCCGATGAAATTTCACGTTTGAGGACGCGCTCCAGTTTCACCGAAATTCTACGAAATATACCCGTGGCGATCACGTGGGAAGGTGACGCGACAGTAAAATTCAATAATAAGGAGAAACTAAAGAAAAATCTATGTATCGTAGAAATCTCGAGATTTGCGAGCTCATGCCAAATACAGGGAGCAGGACAAAATGGCGATGTACAAAAGGACTCTCTTAACGTCTACATATGGATTCGCTTAATTTTCTTTAACGAAAAATCGGTTGATGTTACCAAGAATATTACATAAGGCAGTCTTATGCAATGTACAGTAGTTTCTGAGTTCAATAAGAAAAATATATTTTATTTAGGAAACTATAGAAAATTTTTTCTTAAAATTTATCCTGAAAATCGTGTAATCGCGGAACAGCATGGCATTTTAAACAACTTTATGAGAGTTTCTTGAAATTTTACCACACATTTTACTAACGTTTTGTTAGTAGAATGCATGGTAAAATTTAAAAAAAAAACTCCCGTCAAGCTGCTCAAAATGTTGTCCCACGATTACATGATTTTCAGAGTAAATTTTAAGAGAAAATTCTCTCCGTGTAGTTAAGCGTTTTTAATCAACGTAATGGTGATTTTGTATTGTAAGAATAACAATAGGTGCGACTTTGTTAAATACTTCACATTAAGAAATTGTCCACCATTGATCCTTGAGCTACCAGGAGACGCAATGTACAGGATCTTTAAGGCCCGGCTTTTCATTTTCTGGTTAAATGTTGACCAGTCGACTGTATGTCTCTTCTTAGATAATAATAGAGAAAAAAAGTGAAGAGTCCACTAACCTCTAGTTAACAGTTAACCAGAAAATAAAAGCCCGGGTCTCAGATAATAATATGGAATACATTAGATAATATAGAAAAAGACGGAGAGTCGACTAATCTCTGGTTAACGGTTAACCAGAAAATGAGAAACCGGGCCTATCAAACGGATTAAAAAAAAGAACGCACGCGCCGATACTTACGACATGATTGCATTTCATCGCTGTTGTCGTCGCAGTCTCCGCGGTAATCGCACACCAGAATCGAGTGTATACATTTGCCATCGTTGCACCTGAACATGTTATTCCCGCAGCCATCGCCTGTAACAGAAAGCATAGAGCATGAAGGGATCGGCCGGGAAGCGATATTGCTGCCGTGATAGGTGAAAGGTTCAATGCCTGCCGCCGGGGAACTGCCGTTTCTAGGTGTAACCGTTGCAGAAGATAGGATTCTTCTAGGTCTCTCTCTCTCTCTTTCTCTCTCTTTTTTTTTGAGCGAATCCTCATCCGATGAACTTTCGCGTGGCGATTATTTCGTCACCTCGCCCGCGGTGTGTCCGAGATATCGAGGGGAGCACAATTGAACGCGCTTGTGCAGCGAGAAACCAACTTTCCAGGCTTGGAATTTCGGACTTGTGTCGCGGGGCGTGCGTCAGAATTGACCCAGGAATTGACTGTCGGCGCGTTAGAGAGTGAAATGATTTTAGTTCGCCCTTAACGTTCCCCGGGAATGGTCGTGTCCAAAAAGCCGCGCGTTTAGAGCCGAGATTCTTTTAAATGGCCACGCTCGATTAAAGAAGCTCGTCAGAAGTGTGATAGCCGCGGGCACCCACACTCTCCAGTTTGTGACTCCGTGAACTTTTCAATTCTTCGAATGCGAATATAAATGTATTTTGGAATACAAATCACCCATTTCGGGGGAATTATCATTGGAATTTTTTCTCTCATTAAGGCGCCGTGTTTATAAACAGAATGATAATATCCCAGCTTGGACATTTTCTTTCTCGGAATAAGTTAAACCTCCAGCACAACTTAATTTCTTCTCCACTCGGATATAAAAAAAATACATACGTAACAAGAATATTGCGTGCGAGATTAAATTCCTTCCTCTAATTATCTGTTCTACAAATTAGTGTCTTTTATCTTTAATGGAGTTTTTTAATCCCTAATGGAAGACGGTCGATCGGTTATTTTCCGCTAGAAATGGCTGTGTCATTAATTGTTATTGGAAACGTAGTACGTGTCAGTAGCGAGACTTTGCATTAATATTAATTAGCGAAGAGAATACGAGACTGTATGATCGATGGTACAATGAAGTCGATCAGTATAGGGCATCAATTAGCAGCACTTTCGACTGCAAGGCTACAACAGCTTTCCTCCTTTGTCCCGTCTAAAATAACCGGAGAACAGAAGTACCGGGAAGTGTCGTTGCGGCGACACCGAACTCGTGGGAGTCGTGGGTGGAAATTAAGATCACGACGATCCGTGATTGCGATGATCTTCTAATCTTCATTATAATTATTGGATTCATTATAAGTGGCTGGATATAATTAGACGGGTATGCAGATTGTTTTATTTTTCGCAAGTAAAACGTCGAAACGTTTCCTCGAGCTGAAGGCGACAATGAATAATTTGCTTTCGCGCGTACCCGTAAAGGTGTACAGGAATACCTTGAAATGGCCTAATGTTTGCTGCGCAGCATCCGCGAGACGTGATAAGAAAAGGCGCGATAAACAACCGGCCTCTTGTCTCGGTTATCGTTTGCAGGTGACTTTTGTTCATCGGCCGCCGGGGAAAATTTGCATAACGACGCGGAATTTTTCACGAGTGTCGTTATGCAAATGCGTGCCTATTGATATTCGAATGTCGTCGTCATCGCGCAGCTCGACGGCGATGACGCTTTGTTTTGAATTATCAGCGATAATGAGGATAATAATAAACCCGATCTCTCACACAGACATGCGCATACCGCGATCGTTTAAAGAGGAACCCGGATTTATGATAATTCGCATTTTCCTGCGATTCGTCCACGACGCGACGCATCGCCGTTTTCCGAGCGATGACCAGGAACGCAAGACGATTACTGTGAGAAATGAGAAACCCTGATTTCCAAACGCTATAAGGTCGAGTCGTCTGCAACCTGGAGTGGTGCTCAAGTTTCAAATAGTTTTCGAAAATTACTGACAAATAACCGAGGGGTAAACGGCTGAGGGCATTGTGGTGTACAGATTTGCGGCATTACTGCACCCTCAGAAAGGATTTCCGTTGCCGAGACAACAAATATTCTTGACGCATTTATAATATATTTCTCACAACCTCATTTAGTCTAAAAATAAGACAATATAAAAATAAAATCAATAATTCTTATTCTCCTCTATCGAATTAAAAAAAGGTTGACTTACTACATTGAGACAAGAGGAACTTATATAATATTCTTGCGTTTAGAATAAATCTTCCCTCCATCTTACAACGCACGAAGCTGGCACCACGATATTCGACAAAAGAAGACACCTACTACCATTTTATTCTAGATTTTGGAATTTTTCATTTAAGATTAAAATATTCCTTTCTCTATAATAAATACGATTGGCGCTATATCGATTCTATTTTATGATACATTCAAGTGTAATAGCATTGGACGCGGAATTTTTTTATGGATGTGGGCACTACTAGGCATTACTAGACCATTTTTGGGCATTAGTTTGGGCATCAGGCCTTGCTGGGACATTATAAAGCTAAAGTAAAATGAGATAAAATAAGACAAAACAAGAAAATAAGATAAAGTGATGTCCACTGGGCATTAGTGCACTGAAAAAAATTTCTGGTTGAATATGGACGAATCAGATAATTCCTTTAGGATTTACCAGAATTCCTTTAGGATTTACCAGAATTCCTGTAATCCTACAGATGCCCACACTGAAAAAAATTTCTGGTTGAATATGGACGAATCAGATAATTCCTTTAGGATTTACCAGAATTCCTTTAGGATTTACAAGAATTCCTGTAATCCTACAGAAATTCTGGTAAATCCTAAAGGAATTCTGGTAAATCCTAAAGGAATTATCTGATTCGTCCATATTCAACCAGAAATTTTTTTCAGTGCATGGGCATTGCTGTACAAGATTTTGGGCAGCGGTTTCCCCCTCGCAAGTAACCGATACCTCAGTATCGGAAGGTATCACTGATATCTTCGCGTTATCGTATTTACTTGTCTGTCACGGCTGTTCGAATTATCATAGTTGTCGCGATATTCTGTAATCGTTGTTATAATTATTTAACTACTGACTTATCGGACAAATGACTGATCGGTTGTTTGTAGTTAAATACTTACAGCGCGATTGCAGAATATCGCGATAACTATGGCAATTCGCGTAGCCGTGATGAACGAGTAATTACGATAACGCGAAAATACCAATGATACTTTCCAGTATTGCCGCGTTAAACCTGCGGTCTGGGAAACCTGACAGCTTGAACTTGTGCTCATTACCGTTCCGAGTAGGGAAGAATAATCTCCAATTGTCCCATTGGAGTTAATGAGCTTCCCTCGATTGTATCCGTGCGTTTTCCAAGTTTTACATTTCGCGTTATGAAAGGAAAACTGATCTCCTCTCGTAAAAGGACTTATCGCGCGGCGATGGCAATCGAGGCCCGTTTACGGAGACTTTCCCATCGCGGGAGGATCCTTGATACATTGTCCTTGGACGAGAAAGCGATCCTGCGCTGTGCAATCGGCTGACAACGTTGTGATTAATGTTTAAAAAAAAAATCGGTCACGCTCAGATGAAGCGTGTGATACATATGTAAAATAGAAAATGTCGTGTTGAGCAAAGCTTTTTTTCTCCCCCGGGACGCGATGCCTTTCCAACATTCGCGAAAATGTTGCGAAGTGTGCCCTGAAAGCTTGTCACGAGCGGGATCACCAAGGTTTTCGTTACTTTGCCGTCGGCCCCACCGTGACGCCGCTCCAGCGGACGATCCATAGATCGCTGATGTTAATAGAGAAAGTGACGAAACGCGGCGCCGTTTCCGTGGCCTCTCAGAAGCGAGCGCGATCAATTTTCGAAATGACATTCGCGCGATACCGCCGCTCTTCGCAAATAAGCAATCGGCATTTCGGTTCGTACGTGCCGATCGATCATTTTCCGCGACGACATTCGTTCGGAACGCGAACCCGCAAGACCGCTGGATCCGCGAAGGAAAGTGAGGAGAGCACGGAGGAGGTGAGAGCCTTAAGGTGTGTAAGTAAGCCACGTTCTGTATATGTGGGTGCCTCATCATCGCGAGAGAAGAGACGAGCAGAAAGAGATGGAGAATGACTGGGGGGGGGGAGGGGGAGGAGGAGGCAGAGAGAGAGAGAGAGAGAGAGGGAGAGAGAGAGAGAGCGTGAGGCTGTGAGAGGTGAGGAGCGGTTGCCGATTGGGGAGAGGGAGACAATGAGAGTGGGAGAGAGAGACGCTGATGGCACTAGAGAGGAGAGCAGAGGAGAGGAAGTGGCCACGGCTTGGAAGTGCAGCGTTCGTGCCAGGCCGTGCGGCCTGGTACGAGCAGAGCACCGACGGCAGCCGGGAGGGAATGTGCATTGCGGAGTAGGAATGCAAATATATCGAAGACAGATAAGTCGCCCGTGATACGCCGCGTGCTCGAGATTTTTTTCCGCGATATTTTCGTTGCCGCACATCCGGATCGTTAGATCCGCCAGCGCGGGGAAAAACACCGGTCCGCATTCACGCGATCAATTTTTAAGATCACACTCCGCCGTTTATTGCCCCGCTTCGCGGACTCGGGAACGGCCTGCGCGTCTCCCGTTGGGAAATGAAGCGACGCGTCAAATCTTACGGCGCGCATTGAACGCGATTTCATTAAGTAGACGACTCTTCCTCCGCCAAGATTTCAATCGAATCGTAATAACAAAGCGACCTTTAACGTACAGAATTCCGTTCAAGACACACGGCGGAATAAGTTCGCCTGTTCCCATCCTATAACGTTTCTTGCTATCGGGTTTAGACGACACGACCATTTCAAAATATTTCGCTACAACTTGGGAAAATTGATTGCCACGAATAAAATCTATATACAAGTGCACTTTGTTGCAGAAATATATTTAAAAACGCTCAGAACTGACTATTGGAGATTTTTATACCGTTTCTTAACTTTACGTTATTTTGCATTGAGAGCAAAGCGGACTGAGTATACAGTTAAATCTCGTCAATTTGCATTTCAATGGAACAAATTTCACTCGACATTTTAAACGTCGCCCCACTATTTTGTAGGATAAAATTAATTAACCACTAATTCCATTAAATAATGATTTTCATTTGCAA